AAAAAAAAAAAAGAAAGAAAGAAAGAAGCTGGGCATAGTGTGTGTATACCTGAAATTCCAGCTACTAGGGAGGCTGAGGCAGGAGGATTACTTCCAGGAGCTCTAAACCAGCCTGGGCAACATAGCAACACTCTCTCAAACACACACACACACACACACACACACTGTGTGTGTGTGTGTGTGTGTGTGTGTGTGTGTGTGTAGATATAATGTCAATGAGGCAAGGTTTGAGGTTCTACCTCTGTTACCTGGCACTTTAAAGATAGTGGGAAGAATACTGGATAAGCATCAGCAAGACATAAGTTACATCTTTACACCTCTGGGTTTACTCAGCTGTAAAATGGGGGCCTGCATTAGTTGATCTCTAAGCAATTTACACATTCTCAAAAAACTGAAATAACCCCCAGTTTCTGTGGAATCCTACATTCATTTTTGTTCCTTTAATTTTCTCCCTGCCACATTAAGGTGAGAACTCATGTTCTATAAAACAGGTGAAGAAAGCTGGGCTTGGTGGCACAGCCTTGTAATCACAGGAATTAGGGAGGCTGAGGCAGGAGGATTCAAATCCCAGGCCAACTTCGGCAATTTAGTGAAATCCTGTAACAAAATTTTAAATGGTTGAGGGTGTAGTTCAGGGGTAGAGCATCCTTGGGTTAAATCCCAAGTACCTACCCTCTCCAGTCCAAACACAAGGTGAGGAAAACCAAAGAAAGGCCCAGGTGTCCTAGAAACTTATCCTTTAAGTCACAAATTGTGGCCCAAGCTTTTCTACAGGGGGCAGCACAAGGGGTGTCTGAGTAATTCTACTCCCGTTAGTGGAAGGCAATAAACGCCTTTACTGCCTTTACCGGAAATTTAGCATTCTCTGGCTCAAAGTCATTGTTAAGCACAGGCCTAGCATACAGCAGACACTCAAAAATGTTGGCTGAATGAATGGATATCCAACTGACACCTGTTATTCCCTATAAAAGCTTTAATTTACTTGCTTGACTCAAGCCAAACTCCGAGAAAGCTGGTAGGCACTGAGAACTCCACTAAATGTCCTCTGAACCAAGTACTCCTTCAAATACTCAGTTATGCATAAGTGGAAAAACATAACCGTGGGAGAAATGCTGAACCAGCGGAAAAAACTTCGAAGCCAAGTTTCAACATTCCTGGAGACATACACACCCACTGCTGCGAGGGTCAATTTCCCAGTCTTCTTCCAGGGCACCCTCCAAGGTGCTTGGGAAAGTAAGACCCAGCTCCTGTTCTACCCTGAGACACTCGACAACCCACATAAACCCTTTGGGTGGATGTCGCTCGAGCCAGCACTGCACAGACACGGACACAGGGACACCAGAGAGGCCTCTTCCCGGCTTTGCCAGGTTCACCATAGAACCAACAAACTCTGCAAAGACCAAATTAATCCCGAACCTAGCTGAACTGGCAGTTCCTACCGAGGTGAACTATTTATTTTCCTACAGCTGCTAGAGGCAAACGAAAACTCCAAAGTTGAGTGGAACGGTCCGTGTCCCCCAGTCCCGGGAATGCAGCTGTTTCACACTTCGCACCCCTCCCCCGGGGCGAGAGGGGGCCGGCCGAGCTCTGGGCAGCTCCGCCGGGGTCCCCGGAGAGCCGCCCGCCTCGGACTCTCATAGTAAGACTGAAAGAGGAAAAAACCCAGGCTCGCCCACCGCGGCGGATGGCGCAAAGCAGTGGGGGATTTTAGCAGAGCGGAGGGGCCCCCAGAGGACTGGACGTCCCCGGGTCCGCAGCGGCCTCCTCCCGCTTCCCCCCCGCCCCGAACCGGGCACACCGCCCCGGTCCGCGCAAGCACCCCTACGGTGAGTCCCTCCTCCTGCGAGCACATGAACTTTAAAATGGTGCCTCGGGCGGGGGGGCCCGACGGAAAAGGAAGGGTTCCAGGAGCCGGGGCGAGCGAGCGGGTGCAGGGGCCATGGAAAAAGACCCCAGGTGGCGGGTGGGACGCCCCAAGTGACGCGCAAACGGGGGCGCGGAGGGAAGCGCACCGGGCAAAGGTGGAGACAGAAATGGAACGCGGCCCCTTTAAGAGGCCTTCAAGGCACTCAGGGACCGGGGGCCTCTCCTCCACCCCCGGCCCGATGTGTGGGGCCCTTCTTTGGGGAGAACCATCCCCGGACCCGTTCACCGGAGTCTTCCCTCACGCCAGGTCCCGCCCGGCCCTGCCCCGGGGCGGCGGCTCCTCCTTACCCCGCTGTCTGCCGCCTCCTCCCAGCTCTCAGCGACCTCCTCATCTTCCATCTTACTCGCCGCTTTCCCTCCTCCCCCAACCCCTCCCCGCGCCTGCGCCCTGAAACGCGCCTCCGTCGCGGGCGCGGGCACGTAAGGCTTCACTCAATGGACCCCGCCCCCGGCCGAGCCCGGAAGAAGCTCCAGGCTAAGGCCCACTCTAACCGAGGCTGCCATCTTGGAAGAGGGTGTGGAAACCGCGCAAGCGGCCATCTTTTCTAAGGGAAACTCGTTATTTCTCGCATAGAGTGGGAATTCCACTGAAGTCATCGTCTGCAGTACAGGAAGCGCCTCTTTTGGGACCGATGCAGGCAATTACTGAAACCTTTTCTTTTTAAGTGAGTCGCAGTTTCCCTAATCTGTAGATCATGTTTTTCCTCAGAATTCTGAAAATACTCTTATATCTCAACCAAGGATGAAAAACAGCTGTTAATGCATAAAACATTTCCATTTCTGATAGGGTGAAGATTTCTGATTACGGTATTTCCTGCTCATTAAGCAGTACTCCAATCATCTACTTTATATCCTCTATCGTGCGGTAGAAATATTACTGTGAGTTGATAATATTGCATCTAAGTGAAGCAACCAGAAGGATTCTCAGCTACTGTTGTCCTGCGTCTTTAATGATAGGTGAATACATTAGCATTACCTTTAAAAATCCACTACATTTCTACCTAGCTTTCTTGTATTGTCTTTCTTCAGAATACAAGTGGAGACCTTTTCCAGTTCGCCTTCAGACGCCTTCAGTTTGAACAATCTTGTGTACATTATGAAACCGTGCCTTAGTTTCCCTAAGTGTAAAAAAAAGAAATAGTAGTAACAACTACTGCAGAGGTAGGTTGTGAGGATTAAACGAGTTACAATGCTGAAAAACCTAGACATATCTGACCCTGAGTAAAAATTCTGAGTTAGTTATTATCATTATGGGGTGGAGTGTCTTGCCTGCCTGGGGAAGACTTCTAATTCTCACTTCTCTCTAATCATCCTTTCTTTCCCCAAACACAAAAGGTGGGGGAAAAAAGCAAACACCATGTTTTTTATTCTCACTGACAGGTTCCTCTAGACCTCTCAGTATTAAAAGCTTCATAATTTTGCATTGCTTCGTTTGGCTGCTGTAATCAATTTATCCAAATCGGAATGTGTTTTTCTGCATGTTTTTAGCATACCTTTAGTCTTTACAAAATAACGGTTTCCTGTTGTGAAAGTTTGCAGTTTGTATTCCTTCTCTTTCTTCCCAATACTGGGTATTGAAAGCAGGATGCTTTGCTCCTGAGCTAAATCCTCAGTCTTTTTTTACTTTATTAATTTTAAGACAGGATAAACTGAAGGCTGTCCTCGAATGAACCTCTGGAACTTCCAGTACAGGACACCGTACTGGGCTGCAGTTTGTATCCTTGGTGATTATTACTGTTACTGGCAGCCCAGCCAGAGAACCTCCCTGGATCCTGGCTGGTGGAATCTGGCATCCTGCCTGCGTGAGAAATACGCAAATGATGTAAAAAGGAAAAATGAATTTTGTGCAGTTTGACCTAATTGGGGAGAAGCAGCTGGATTGTTTCTCTGCCTGTCCTGCAGAAGCTGTTAGGATTTATAAAAACAAAAAGTCAAGTGATTTACATATGTTCATTTAGCCTGGTGGTGCTAGCCTGAGAATTCCCAAGCTTCCGGATGCCCAGCTAGGCCACTGTGGGTGGTGTTTTCAGTTTTCATTCTCAACATGGGGAAATTCAGGATTCAGAAAAACAGTTATCAGGAAGTTGCTTTGAATTTTAAAGGGACTGTTTCATTATGAGTCGAAATCATGTGGTGTTACTGGTCGTTACTTAGAAGTTAAAGTGTCCTGTTTACTAATTCAGTTTCACAACTTCCTGTCTCTGAAATTTTGTTGTTCTTTCGATCTACCCTCAGTCCATTGTTCTTATCAATGCTGACCGTAAAATGCTTCTCCCAAAGTTGATTTCTAGTTGTGAACTGATTGGGTGTTTACGATTTTGATTCATATAGCTAGATTTCTTATTGTCCCCTGTGTGGATATTCCATTTGCAGCTCAAATTTTCTGGTTGAAACTCATCTAATACTGTTACCTGCTTCACCATCTTCATGGACAAAGAGGATGTTGTCTTGTTCATTCTCTGGGACCGTGTTTATTTGTAATACATTCTCCTGAGAACGCTTTTTTTTATTTTTAGAATTTTTTTAATATTTATTTTTTAGTTTTCGGTGGACACAACATCTTTATTTTATTTTTATGTGATGCTGAGGATCGAACCCAGCGCCCCGCGCATGCCAGGCAAGCGCATTACCGCTTGAACCACATCCCCAGCCCCAGAAGCCTTTTTGTAAACAAAATATTTTTTAGTGTTGATGGACCTGTATTTTATTCATTTATTTATATGTGGTGCTGAGAATTGAACCCAGTGCCTCACACATATGAGGCAAGCACTCTACCACTGAGCCACAACCCCAGCCCCAAGAACCCATTTTTAAATTTTTGTTATTTTGGTACTAGGGATTGAACTTAGCTATGTGTTGCTAAGGCTGTCCTCAAACTTGTGATCCCCCTGCCTCAGCCTCCTGAGTTGCTGGGATTACAATTGGGGTGTGCCACTGTGCTTTGCTAGAACCCATTCTTTTTTTGGGGGAGGGGGGTACCAGGGTTTGAACTAAGGGGCACTCGACCACTGAGCCACATCCCCAGCTCTATTTTGTATTTTATTTAGAGACAGGATCTCACTGAGTTGCTTAGCACCTCGATATTGCTGAGGTTGACTTTGAACTCACGATCCTCCTGTCTCAGCCTCCCAAGGTGCTAGGATTACAGGTGTGCGCCACGGTACCTGGGGCTTCTAGAACCCATTCTTTGAACTGAATTATCCTAAGTCTTGGTGACAGCAAGGTGGATGAAACCATCAAACATAAACTAAGTCTTATTCTGGAGGTGTTTTTCCCAAATGCAACCAACTCCCAGTACTTTTAGGCTTTGTAGTTATAGCGTAATACCACCAGAGGGAGATAGTTCCTTACTGTTGTGCTCCATGACAGTGTGCCTTAGGGAAGGCATTAGCAGGACATTTCTGGGGCAGAATTTTCAGAGACCAAAAAGATCTAACCTTTGGAAATCATGAGTTTGCTACAAAGGAAATAGATTTTGTTCCACCAAATGGGAAATCAGAAAGCCATCCCTAGATAAACATAGAGACCCTGGCAACCTTGGGCAAGTTCTTTTTTTTTTAATATTTATTTTTCAGTTTTCGCTGGACACAACATCTTTATTTTTATGTGGTGTTGAGGATCGAACCCACTGCCCCGCGCATGCCAGGCGAGCGCGCCACCGCTTGAGCCACATCCCCAGCCCTTGGGCAAGTTCTTTACCCTCTTGATCTGTTTGGTTATTTGTTAAGTGAAGGCATGAGAGTCAATAAAAATAAAATTGGAATGTAGAGGCAGTTTCGTCCTCTCAGAAAGTTAAGAGAGTGGCATACACATATATAGGCAGAGACCCTAAGCCATCGACTCCTGTTTCTTGTGTAGTATGTCCAAGACATGATTCATGTTTGGCTTGTATGTTGGAAACATGCACCCAGCAGGCACCTTTGATACACCACATAAAACACTGATATGTGGGGGCTGGGGTTATAGCTTAGTGGTAGAGCGCTTCCCTAGCATGTGTGAGGCACTGGGTTCGATCCTTGGCATCACATAATTAATAAATAAATAAATAAATAAATAAACGGTATTATGTCCATCTACAACTAAAAAATATTTTAAAAAATCCACTGATACGTGATGAGGATACAAACACAAAGGTCATAGTGAGAGAACTGTTGTGATAGCTAATTTGAGGCTATGTAGATAGTTAAGAAATTAGTGGTAGGGGCTGGGGTTGTGGCTCAGCGGTAGAGCGCTAGCCTAGCATGTTCAGGGCCCTGGGTTGTATCATCGGCACCATATAAAACTAAATGTTTGGAATAAATGTATTGTGTTCAACTGCAACTAAAAAATATAAATATTAAAAAAAAAGAAAGAAAGAAATTAGTGGTAAAGCAGGGCACAGTGGGAGTGGGTGTGGTTTAGTGGTAGAGCCCTTGGCCTAGCATGAGGATGTCCTGGATATGATCCCCCAGAGCAACACACACAGAGAAATGGCAGTTTGCTCATATCTAAAATGTACATGCCTTTTGACCCCAAAGTTAAAGACTAGAAAAAATGAAATGTAAAATTATGGTATAGTCATACAAAGGAATAGAATACAACTGTTAATAAAGTTTAGATGGTTCTAAATGTACCAATATTGACTGAGTTCTGTTTGTTTTTTTTTCTTTAAAGCAAGGCAGAGTAGTGTGTTTAGCATGCTGCTATTTGTAGCTTTGCTTTATTTGTGTGTGTTTGTGTGTGTGTGTGTGTGTGTGTGTGTGTGTGTCCATGAATCTGGAAGGATAAAAAAAAGTTGTAACAGAGCAGTCTTGATAGAGGGAAGGGGTGACTAGATAACTTGGGGATCAATAGCCTGGGGGCCACCCTGAATAGGAGGTGAGCACCCCACCCTTAGCCTTGAGTAACAGGGGTATGGAACTGGCATCAAGTGGGCTTTACCTTGCTTTGCAAGGAAGTGCAGCTCTGGGATTGGGCTCATCCAATGGGACTGGGCTACATCCCCCCTCCCCATTTGTTGTAACACAATCCCTTGCCTTATTTGGGTGGAATGTCTTCCCCCTAATAAAAACAGGGTTCGGGGTACACTTGCTCTCTTGCTTCCCTTGCTCCTCTCGTTCTCCAGCATGGGAGCTGAACCATCCCTGACCCTCAAAAAAGGTATTTTGTGTTTGTGTGGTCTCTTCATTGCCAGCCCCATTCATGGGGAATGACCCTGAATCCATTGCCCATGTGGGACATGGGTGACAGAGTAGGATAAACAACCAGCTAATTATTATCATTATTATTTTTTGTGGTGCTGGGGATCAAACCCATGGCCTTGTGCCTGTAAGGCGAGCACTTTACCAACTGAGCTAAATCCCCAGCCCCAATTATTATTATTATTGTGTGTGGTGCTGGGGTTGGAACCGAGGGCCTTGCATTCGAGGTAAGTGCTTTAAAACTGAACTATGGGGCTGGGGACATGGCTTAAGTGGTAATGCGCTCGCTTGGCATGCACAGGGCGCTGAGTTCAATCCTCAGCACCACATAAAATAAAAAATAAAGATGTTGTGTATGCCGAAAACTAAAAAATAAATATTAAAAATATTCTCTCTCTCTTTAAAAAAAGAAAAAGAAAAAAAAAAAAAGAACTATGCTCCCAACCCTAACTTCATTTTTATTATGTCTTTTGAATGTCATACTATGTCTATGTATTACTTATTTTAACTAAGTAAAAATGTACAAAATAAATTTCAGTAATTGATTTTTGAGATCATCTTGTGTGAACTTACTGGAAAGACTCTAGTCCCGCCTTTCATCCCAGCCTCAACCTCTCTCCAGTCCTGTTCCAGTCACCCTTCATACTGCAGAGACTGTTCTGAGACAGTTTTCATCACATGTCCTTTCTGCCCCAATTCTCCACAACCTTGGAGGAAAGGTCTAGTCTTCCTCCTGATCATCCAAACTTGACTTCAAGCTTTTTTTTTTTTTTTTTTTTTCAGTACAGGGGATTAAAATGCAAGGGCACTCTCCCACTCAGCCACATCCCCATCCCTTTTTATTTTTTATTTTGAGGCCTCAAACTTGCTATCCTCCTGGCTCAGCCTCCCGAATGGGATTACAGGCATGTGCTACTGTACCTGGTGCCTGGCCTCAATCTTATTTTCCTAAATTTGTCAGAAGATAGGTTTTGCAGCGTTCAAGAGCACAGGCTTTGAAATCAGACCTGGTTTCAAACCCTGCCTGTGACCATAGTGAGCTATTTGATCCCTAAAAGCCTCAGTTTCCTCATTCATTAAATAAGCACAATAACAGAAACAACGTACCAATGATTGTCACTTAATAAGAGTATTCAGTAAGCATCAGCTGTGATTATTATTATTATTATTATTATTTTGTACTGGGGATTAAACCCAGAGGTGTTTTATCTCTGAGCTACATCCCCAGCCCCTCTTTTATTTTGAGGCAGGGTCTCATTAAGTTGCTTAGAGCCTTGCTAAGTTGCTGAGGTTGTCTTTGAACTTGTGATCCTACTACCTCAGTTCCCCTGGCAATTAGGATTACAGGCATATTGCTACCACATCCAGAAACTATGATTATTTTTTTAAAATGTGCTTTAGTCAGGTGCAGTGGCGCATGCCTATAATCCAGCAGCTTGGGGTGGCTGAGACAGGAGGGTTGCAAGTTCAAAGCCAGTTTCATCAATTTAGGCCCTGAGCAATTGTATTAGAGCCTGTCTCAAAATAAAAAATAAAAGAGGATGGGGCATGTGGCTCATTTGCTAAGTGCCCCTGGGTTTAATCCCCAATACCCCCCCCAAAAAAAGTAATTTGCTTTAATAATAACATTTTCATGCTTAACACAATTTGTAGTTTTTTGTTTTGGCTTATTTACTTGTTTATTGTCTCTTTCTACGTAGATTGTAGGAGCCGTTCATGAGGGAAGAGACCTTGTTTTATTTAAAAGTACATGCCACAGGGGCTGGTAGAGCACCTGTCTTGCAAGTAAGAGGTACTGGGTTCAATCCTCAGCAACACATAAAAACCAGTAAATAAATATATTGTGTCTATCTACAACTAAAAAAATATATATCAAAAAAATACATGCCACATTGTCTGGCACATTGTAGGTATTCACTAAATTTTTGTTTCTTGTAGTCAAATTCCCTGTTCATTTTTTTTTCCTTCAACAAATATTTAGTGTGTCCCTACTGTATGCTGGTCTCTATTAGATGTAGGTGATAAAGCAGTGAGCAAAACAGACAAAAATCCCTGCTATCTTTGAACTATGACAGTCAGGACGCATTGATCCTTCATTTGAACATGTTGTAACATGCTCTGGCTGTTCCAAACCTGACTGGGCATCAGTATCCCTGGGGAGCTTTAAAAAGTCTATGGCAGTGCTCTGCGACAGGCCCTGGAACCAGAATTTTAAAAAGGAAACAATAGTGGTTCCAGTGCTCTCGGGAGAAGGGTTCACAATTCTATGACTTTTTTAAAAACTTTTTTTGTTGCTGTTCTTTTTTTGGTGGAGCTGCAAATCGAACCCAGGGCTTCGGGCATGCTAGGCAAGAGCTATCAGAGCTTAATTGTGCCTCGCTAAATTGCTGAGGCTGGTCCTGAACTTGTGATCCTCTTGCCTCAGCCTCAAGAGTTGATTGTATTATACACGTCTGCCATCGTGCCCAGTTTAGATTTGGGGTTTTAAATGACATGATTTAAATATCCTTTTTACTAGTTTTAATGAACAATTTTCCCTTTTGTGGTGATAGTTCCTATTTAAAAGCCAGAGTTTTTTGTTTTTGGTACATGATCTTGCTATGTTGCCCAGGTTGGTCTTGAAGTCCTGGACTCAAGCGATTCTCTTGCCTTCTGAGTAGCTGGAACCACGGGAGTGTACCACCAGAACCTGCAGAACTTGGCTTCTGACCCAGACCTATGCTCCAAAGAATAGCCCAGGAGATCTGCTCTTACCAGGGCTGTCGCAGGCAGGCAGCCCAAGGTTGCTCCTGTGATAGGCACAGAGCTCCGTATCTCTGATGTATCTTCAGACCACATGCTGCAGGAATAGGTTCCTCAAAGTTGTCACATGCGCATCAGTTGCACCCTTGGAGGGGGACTTTGGTGGACCCCGTCTCCTAGTGATAGTGAGCAGTACAGGGGCCTGGGAATCAGATAGACCTAAGTTTGAATCTCGTCTCTTCCTGGCCCTGGCTTCTACTGCTAGGTGATGGCTCTGCACCTTAGTTTTCTTATCCGAAAGGTGTAGGTAGTAACGACTCACACAGTGGTTGGTACAGTTTTGAGACGCTCTGCTTGCTCTGCTTGCCTCCAAAGGCAGTTTCCCTCCCCCAGGTGACATCCAAGGGCACTTCCATGGGCCACAGCCCTCATAGGTTCCCACTGGGACCTCGGGGGCACAACTGAATTAATTTCCTGGTTAAACGTCATAGTTTCAAACCACTGGGAAAACCGCCCTGTTGCCCCAGGCAGCGCAGCGGATACAGGTCTGAGGCCAAATCTCGGGAAGCTTCGCTCCACTAGGTTGCCTTCAAACCTCCGGGAGAAAACCCTTCTCAACATGGCGCCGCCCTGTGGCCGCGCCGCGCCTTTCCGCCGCGTTGACGTGAGTGCGCGCGCGTCCTCCGCGCTGAGTCTCGACGCATGCGCGCTCCGTGCTGTCTTCTCCCGGCCAGAGCAGCAGTAGCGGCGGCGGCGTTTGAGTGGAGGAAGATGGCGGCTCGGGGCGGCTCGGGGTCCCGCCAGCTGTGAGGATACCCGAGCACGGCCAGCGCGACCTGGGGCACAGCGCCTCTGTTCTGGCCCTGTCCTCGGCTCCCTCCCCACAGTCGCCAGCGGAGAGAACCCGAGAGCGTGGAGCGGGCTGGGCCAGGTGAGGCCTCTCCTCCTCCCGAGCTGCGGCTGGCAGCCGGCGCCTCCTGCCCTTTATGCCCCGGGGGCAGTGGGCGCGGGGTACGGGCTGGGTACGTGCAGGCCCGGCATCCTGCGCCGGGGTCGGTCCTGGCCGATCTGGGCCTTGCTGTCGTCATCGTCGGTTCCTCTGGGTGAGGCGGGGAGAAGGAGAGCCCCTTTACAGCCAGCATTTCCCGTCCCTTTTCAGCGGGGCGGTTCTCGTCCCCTTACTCGGTCCAGGAAGGGGTGTGTGGCCATGGCAAGGGTGGTTTTAGGGGTGTCAAATAGGCTTTAACCCCGCCCCCCAGACCTTAACTCCCTGCGAGAGGAGCTGGAGGCTGGTGCCCTCAAAATTGGGTCCGCGGCGAGGGGCCCGCATCTCGAAAGCTGCAGCTGCAAAGGGATGATTTTGGGGTTGGCTTGCAAAATAAAACAGCAGCAGCAGCCTTTCCTCACCCCTGGATATATGAATGTTGCCTTGGAGAAGTGGGAACAGCGGATCTCCTTGCTTGAGACTGAAATCCACGTTGTGACTGTGGACGGCTTTTCTTGGTGAGAATTGTTTGTGCAATGGGAACGGTTGAGGGTGGGAACGATTTGTAAATGAAGAAAACACAATTGTAAGATCTCGGTAGTCTGCAGAATAACTTCAGCGCTCATGGAGTTCGTTTGAAACCTTTGGATTGTTAAGTTTAACCATTTGCTTTGTCTGTTGGATCTCCCCACTTTTATTAGGAAAATAAAAGCTTCATTTCTTCGTTGCCGAAGTCTTTGGACTTTTCTCTGGTGGGCTTCCCACCGAGCTAGATGAAGATCCAGACATATTACCAGTTCTCACTTGCTGGCAGCGACATTGTGCTGTGCTGGTTAATTCCTTTTTGAGAGTAACTTTTTGTTGTTCAAATGCTGTTTGGGAGCCTTTGGCTTAGTTTCTCTCAGGTAGGGAAGCTAATTTGAAGCCTTGAAGAATGATGGCTTCAGTGGTAATTGTGCTATGGGAAATGGTTGTGGCCATTGCTTTTGCTTGGACTCCCCAAATACCTTTTGTAACATATACCTTTGGTTTTTTTTTGTGCTTAAGAAAGATGACATCATGGATTTAAAGAGACATGGAAAATTTGAGAAGAAATACCCTCATTTAGAATTCATTCTGTACCTCTTACATTGAATAGTGATGTTGTGTGTCGAATTGCTAACTTTGAGTTTATTCATATGTATAATATGGTTGGGTGTCTTTTCTGTTGTACATAGTCATTTTGTACCCTGAAACTGTTTGCTTTTGACCATCCCAATATAAGCTTATTATTCAATCTACATGGACCCACGGGTTTGTTTTGCCCTTTAAAAAGCTTTTAATTGTTAAAATGGTAGCTGTTTAGTTTAATATTGGCTAGTTCTTTAAGCATTTTTTCCTTTTCTATTTTTAAATCCAGGTGCTTTCCATAGAATTTGTAGATTTTTTTTAGTGTCTTTGCTAAAGAAGTAAACTTGCACTAACTGTAGAAAATTGGAAAGCCACTCTATGTATTAATTTGCTAATAGTCTTGAAATTAATGCAGTAAAACATCCTGGTGGTTTGAGAGTGTGCTTTTTGACATAATATGTTGCATTGTTGTGCTAAATCATCATTAGATATTGATGCAACTTCATGATATCCATGACATCATTCTCTCCCCATCACTTCTACTTTTGTAATTCCTTACCATTCTCAGTTACAAAAAGAACAGGATCAGGAAAAATAGCTTAGGATGCCTCAAATTCTAGAAGGGCCTTTAATGTCTCTTTATGTAGTAAAACCTTCAGTAAGATTCAGAGCTGTGTGATTGGTAACTATTATGAAGTGCAAGCAAAGAAAATGCTATAGCAAAGCCTGAGTTTTATGAAAATATTGAGGTCCCCAGGAGAGGCTGTCTCAAAGAAAAACAAATATGTGCTTATCTTTGTGATTTCAGAGCTGTCAACAATTCTTATAAGAAACTAGAGCCATTTAGTTATAAATAATGACATTCCCACTTCATAAGATTGTTATGTGGGTCATAAGAGGTAATGTTTGTGAAGGTGCTTTGTAGATGTCAAATGAAAGGTAAATGTAAGATTATTTCTATTCTATGAAATCCTTATTTAAGGGTGCTGTCTGTAGTAGGTATTTTGGGAGGGAGGTACTAATGATGCTAATTAAGAACAGGCAGCTTTTGGTATGAAGTTGCCTGAAGTCTGATTGGGAAACTGGACAAGGAAACCACTTAAGCTTATTGTAGTATATATAAGAAGTACATTGAGGGGCTGGGTTGTCGCTCAGTGGTAGAGTGCTTGCCTAGCATGTGTAAGGCACTGGGTTTGATTCTCAGCACTGCATATAAATAAATAAAGGTCCATCCATAGCTTTAAAAAAAATGCATTGAATCCAACAGGGGAGTCAAGGAAGGCTTCTTGAAGTTGGCAGCATTTTCCCCAGTCTATCTTATTGTTCTGCAAAAAAGTCTGCCTTTTGTGAGTGACTTGCTTTTTATAAAAACTTTTTAAAAATTCTGTCATCAGTTCTTTTCCTGTTTTATTCATTCACTATCATGACACTTCCCACACAGTATGCCCTAGTTATGGTTTCTGCATTCTCAAAAATTCAGCAGTCTTGGGAGAACCTTTCTGAGTGAGTCAGAAGCACAGGCAGCAAACACAAACATTGCAGCTGCAATTAAAATATCCCAGATTACTAAGTGGTGATAACTTTATAGAGTGAGGCTTTTTTCGTTGTTTTTGTATTGCCAACTAGCACGAGAGGCATTGTATGTTTTAATTTGATCATATTTAATTAATGTTGAGTTGTCATCCTTTAAAATGTCAGCTATGGTGGTTATTAGTACCGTTTCGTTTTTCTGAATAATTAATAAAGTCCTGTTGGTTTTTAGGTGAAACTGGCAGCTTAAGCCAGAATTAACACCAAACTACTTTATAGAATCTGCTTATGTGAATTGAGATTGCTTAGCATCTCTGAAATTGAATTTCTGTATTTCTACAAAAGTTATGTATCTTAGTGCTGTAGTTGTTTTATAGTTAACTTAGCGTGTTGTCGTCTATATTGCTAGAATTTTATATATTTTTGAATAGAGTAGAATCTTTATGTGGCACTGTTATTTGAGTGCATGTCATCTGTATCTTCACTGAAAAGGAGTGTTTTAAGGTTGTAGTTGATAGAAAAGTAGTGTGTTAATTTATCTGTATTGTGACAGTTACATGTAAGAGAGTATGACTTATATACAAGTCATTTTAAAATTGCCCTATGTTAAGCTCATAATGCAGTTTATTTTTAAAAATGTTTCCTGTGACATTCTTCTAAAAGTTTTGTAAGATTATGATTTAGTGGCATTCCTGTACCTTTAATTTTGCATTTCCTTATTCATGCATGTATTAGAAAGCAAATTTGCTTTGAATTGTGATTGTTCTTGTATTAAATTTATATATTGCAAAGTTTTCTGTTGAAATTTTTTCCAGTATTATTCTGTTTTGCTTCAAATAGAACTGAGCCACATCCCCAGCCCATTTTATATATTTTTTTAATTTTTTAAGAGAATTTTAATATTTAATATTTATTGTTTAGTTTTCGGCGGACACAACATCTTTGTTGGTATGTGGTGCTGAGGATTGAACCCGGGCAGCACGCATGCCAGGCGAGTGCGCTACCGCTTGAGCCACATCCCCAGCCCCCATTTTTTATTTTGAGATAGGACCTCCCGAAGTTCTGAGACTGGCCTTGAATCTACAATCCTCTTGCCTTAGCCTCCCAAATCACTAGGATTACAGGTGTATGCCATCGCATTGAGCTTAGTATCTTGTCCTTTGATAGACACACACATACTTGTGTAATTATACATATGCAAATATATGTAAATCTATAAGCATATGCAAATATACATAAACAATATAGAAACATTGTAAATATATAGGTATTACACAAAGCAGTAGTTACTTGTAACTACTATTTTTGTAAAACTATTTTCCTGTTCTGGATTGTAGATTAATTTAACTTCTTTTCTCTCTCTGTTGCTGGTGATTGAGCTCAGGATGTGACATGTACTGAGCCCCCAGTTCTCATTCTACCGCTGAACTACATCCCCTGCCCCTGGCAGCAACTTATTTTCATTTTTAGTAATATGTAGATTTGAGGTAGTTCATTTACTTTCTATAAAGGCAATTCAATTTTAGTTTTAGCTGGTATTATTTCTTTAGACTATTTAGGATAATTTTATTTCATTTGTTTTAAGGAATTCATTAGTACAGAATGTTCTTCCAAATTTGTTTCTTTATTCTCTAAGACAAAATATTTAATTCTTTGCTTTTCATTCTAAAGTTTCTTAGTAAAGAATTGGTGCAATAGTCACCTCAGTGGTGGTAAATAAATTTTTTGCTATTTTCTGTATTACTGTAGGCACATGGATTTTGATTTATTCATTATTTTACACTTACTTATGGCCATTAGTCTCCCCACCCCAATTTATAGCTGTAGATGGACAGCATGCCTTTATTTGTTTAGTTTTTTTATGTGGTGCTAAGGATTGAAACCAGTGCCTCACACATGCTAGGCAAGCGCTCTGCCACTGAGCTACAACCCCAGCCCTGCCATTAGTCTTTTTGATGCAGAAATTTGGCCAATATAAGCCTATTTAAGATGGTGTTGGCCAGATGTGGTGGTGCATGCCTGCAATCCCAGTGGCTCTGGAGGCTGAGGCAGAAGGATTGCAAGTTCAAAGCCACTCTCAGCAGCCACCGGGCACTAAGCAACTCAGTGAGACCCTGTCTCTAAATAAATAAAATACAAAAAAAGGGCTGGGGATGTGACTTAGTGGTTGAGTTCAATCTCCTGGTACCCCAAAAAAAAAAGATGGTGTTGTATCCTTTTGACATGCCTCTTCAGTTGAAGAACTTGGTTTTAATAGTGTTAACGTTTGTTTGCTTTATCCTATTTATATATAGGATTTTAAGTATATTATCTGTATTGGTATTAACAAAATTCCTGAGGTACATTTAGGATTTTTTTTGTAGTTCTTTTTATGCTTAGAATATTCTTTCCATCAGAATCCAGCCCTAAACTGGGAACCATGCTAGATATTTCAAACAGAAATGATTTAATACAGGGAATTAGTTACATGTGTGTTGCCAGACTGGAAGGCAAAAAAAGAATAGGTGGAGATAATTTAGAGACTAGTAACTATAGGATGAATCAGTTAATACCTCAAGGGATGGGAGAACAAAAGGGAAGAGAGAGTATTACTAGAACTTCTAAGGATACAGAGGAGAGGTTACCACCTCAGACACTACTGCAGCTTTCAGAGCTGGACTCTGAGGAGGAATTATGAGAGGTTGTTAACATAGCTGGTGCTTGGACCGTCATCCTCCTGTTTTTTTAGTTGTTTTGGGTTTATCTTTTTAATGTTTATTTTTGCAGAATTCTACATACCTTCCTTTTTCTTTTTTTCTTGCACAGAAGTTTACCCTACTTCACAGCTTCTTCAGCATCTTGCTGATTTCATTTAATGTATCATGGAGATCAACCACGTTCAGGCAGGAAATCCTTATTCATTTTCACAGCTTTATTGATATAGTAGGTTTTGTTCAACTGATCTCCTTTTGATTCATGTTGGTAAATAATGCTTTATTGCTGGCTGATCTTTTAAAAACAGATTATGGGATAATGTAAGTTTTAGAAGTGTGATTAGGGGTTTTCAGAACTTGCATCTGCAGTGCTTGTTGGTAAAAAAAAACCCTTTTTTTGAGGGGGTACTGGGGATTGAACTCAGGGTCCCTCAACCACTGAGCCAACATCTCCAGTCCTATATTGTATTTTATTTAGAGATAGGGCCTCACTGAGTTGCTTAGCACCTTGCTGTTGCTGAGACTGGCTTTGAACTCCTCCTGCCTCAGTGTCCTGAGTTGCTGGGATTACAGGCATGCACCTGGCACCTGGCATGTTGGTAAAATTAAGGTTCTTGAATCCATCCCTAAATTTATTAACAATCTTTAGGAAATCTACCTGTTAGGGGATTTTTTTTTTTAAAAGAGAGAGAGAATTTTTTAATATTTATTTTTTAGGTTTCAGTGGACACAACATTTATTTTATTTTTATGTTGTGCTGAGGATCGAATCCAGCGCCCGGTGCATGCCAGGTGAGCGCGCTATCATTTGAGCCACATCCCCAGCCCTGCTAGGGGATTTTTATGACCAGGCGAGCTTGTGATCCAAAGATTTGCTTTATGTGCAAATGCCTCTATCCTTTAGGTTTTCTGGGAATTAAGGAGCAGACAAGGCATCATCTATCTTGCATGAATTTATAATTTGGTTAAGGAGAAAAGTCATACATAAAAAATTGTCAATTCTAGGAGCTGGGGTTGTGGCTCAGTGATAGACCACTTGCCTAGCATGTGTGAAGCACTGGGTTTGATTCCTAGCACCGCATATAAATAAATAAAATAAAGGTCCATTGACAACTAAACATTATTTAAAAAAAAAAAAATCTCAACTCTGACTGGTGATGTAGCAGGTACTCTCCTCATCTAGAAGATGAGGGTTTCAGTCAGGAAAAGGAGAACATTGCTTTGCTGTAACTAATACTGGGGAAAAGACATGGAAATGAATTTTTTTTTTTTTTGTGGTGCCAGGGATCGAACTCAGGTTCTTGTGCATGTGAGGCAAGCACTCTACCAACTAAGCTGTATCCCCAACCCCAGAAATGAAATTTTCTACCCCCTCACAGACTCATGTTAAATTTATTTTTCTTTTGCAAAATACTGGTGTGTGCCAGTGGGAAGCTGTCTTTATATACAAACTGAGAGATTTAATAGGATCATTGTAGGACTGTAGTTTTGAATTCTTCCCCCATGCTTCTAGACCACATTGAGTGAATTCCTAGAGACAACAAGCACTCTGTGGAACAGCTACTAGATAAAAGCCCAGAGTCAAGGAGGTTACTCAGGTGTCTACTACTGTAGTGTAAGTGTAGATGACAATGACTGGCTTAGCAAGGGGATAATAGTAAAAGGAAGGACATTTTG